TAGAAGAGGGTGAGAACACCATGGGCGGTCCTCAGCGTAACGTGAGGAACATAATGTCACACCCCTAATTCAACTCAATTGTAAGAAAGTAGTTAATAACTGCATGTGCACAAAAGTCTCTTGTACCTTCTTGGGCATGCTGTCCAGGTGACATATTCCTAATATACGTATTCCTACTGATACAGTAAGTGTAGTTAGATAATGATATGACTATGGCTTTCCGAATACAAAACTTAAATTCAACATTCGTTTTGTTCTTGAATATATTACGGCGGGTTTACGGTAATGCAAAGTACGTGGTTCGCAATTTGGTTACCGTGAGTTGCATAAGACATCGCCGAGTCAAATACAAATAATATTGAGTTCAGCATATGCTACCTCATCGTAAAAGTTTTCAGAGCGCTGGGAATATGATTATCTATGTCCACCTACCATGTCTTTTGGTAAGCTACCGTTTAAATATAAATCTTATCCGAATTCCCCGAAACTTATACGTTATTGGCATTATGAAAAAAAGAAGTTAAATTCCAGTGAGAGCACGCTTGCTCTCACGATCCTCGTCGTAGTAGTCGCTTTTCAAGATACCCTCAAAACGTTATTGACATAATGAAGCTAGGACGAACGGGTATCGATTAGATTTATCTGCTTAGCCCCTTTGGGATAAATGACTTTTCGTCTGCGCAACTTTATTTTCTTGCTTTCCAACAAAGGAGATGAAATTGTAGTTGGTTGAGTTCTTGCTTTCTTGAAGGGATATCTACCATATACTCTATGGATGTTATTAGTTGTTGATAAAACTGACTGACACTCTGTCAACTGACATATAACAAAATATAAACGAAATTGCTGAGTGAGAAAGAATCCGTACAGCTGGTTAGATGCTGTATTGTTTCCCACTAACAGTAACAGAAAGCTAAAACGCAGTTAACATTTAGCATATTCGAAAGAGGGAAGTTTGGGGTGAGATATTTGAGTTAAAACATTGAATAAGTATTTTTAAAGTCCTTTTAAGAGCGCAGTGGAAGAAAAAGTGGCTTAATGAATTTCAAATGTAATTCAGCATTCTATTACAAACAGCCGTACCTTTGAGTTTTTCCAAATAAGCATTGCATATGTTAATATCCCATCGTTTCTTCTCATTGAACATCCGTAACATAGCAGCAACAGCTAGCTCGTCAGCAAAGATTCCATCTTTCAGCATTGCGGTGATCCCTCCATGCTTTAGTGATGCCACAAGTTGTTCGACGCCTGCGGCAACCAATAAGAGTGTGAAATATTTTAAAATCATTAACTTCTTTTGCGTAGATATATCACATAGTATTGTAAATCATGGCCAATTCCAGGAAAAAAGATATTCTTTAGATGGGAGAAAAAAGACACTACGTTTTTTTCTGTGCTATTTGACCCGCCACCTAAAACTCCTAAACAATCCATCGTAGGGTTATGATAGACTGACTTTAGTCGGTGCATCTATTAGGCTGTCACATGATACTTCGCGATTTCTTTCGAAAACATATTTTTCCGCATTTTCAAATTGTTGACCAAAAAGTAAATAATTCGAAAGCTTTTTACTCGTTCTATAGACCGTCCATCATAACTTCAGTCGATTGAGTTATAGTTTTTGAGCTGAAATGAAATGTCTACTCAACAAAATACAGCCTGATATGATTTATATATGATTTATCGCGGTTTTTGAACGTACTCAACGAAATTTTTTTGAATGTAAAAATAGGTAAATTGAATACAGTGTCGATACTGCCTTATCCTATACTCGGTTTAGCGCTGTAGTCGAAGTAGTCTTTTAGCTACTCTTACAAAAAAAAGCGTCATTGAAAGTACAATTGCATGCATATTGTTGGAAAACAATTATATAGGTGCAAACTTTGAAATACAGAGAAGATTTTCACATAGTTGCCTTCAAGCGGATGGGCTACCAGTGAGCGGAATGTTTTCTAGCATACACTCCGTAAACAGACGAGCATTTTCTTGGCGGCCTTTAAAAGACAACAGCAAGTGTTATCCCCCTCAAAAATAAAAAATAAAGACACGACTTGGAGAAACGATGAACGCGTTTTTACAGAGCAGGAAAAGAA